TAAACTCAAACTTGATAAAGAACTTAAATGTACGACGGGAAACCATAAAAATACTAGAAGAATCCAAAGGCAACAAAATCTCACACATATGCCGAAGCAATTTCTTCACCGATACAGATCCTAGGGCATTGGAAACTAACGAGAAAATAAACAAATGGGACTACATCAAAATAAAGAGTTTCTGCACAGCAAAAGAAACGATCAACAAAACAACAAGAAAACCCACTACATGGGAGAACATATTTGCCAATGCTATGCACCCAGTTGAAAATCTGTGTTTTACTTTTGACTCCCCCAAAACTTCAATGGTCCCTCAGTATCCACAGGGGACTGGTTCCAAGACTCCCCACAGACACCAAAAAAGATGCCGAAGTCCCTTACATAAAATGGCATAGAACAATGTATCCAGTAGGTCCTCTGCATTCGCATATTCCCACCTGTGGATCAAAATTACTATTTTCAATCCACAAGTGCTTGAACCTAAGGATGTGAAATTCAGGGACACAGAGGGAAAACTGTATATTTATTAAAAAGAATCTGCATATAAGTAGACCTGCACAGTTTAAGCCTGTATTGTTCAAGGGCCAACTGAATTTACACTGCTTGTTACTTTGTGTTGAGATTTTTTCCTTTGTTCTCTAAAAATACCAACTAGCAGAGATACCTGCCCACCAAAAGCAGAGAAAACCATCTGAAGTGGAATGAAATATACCAAGAAGTGAAGTATGAGTGGTAATTAGACTGTTCATTAAACAGAGTATTATAAATCAATAAAAAGCATCTGTTAGTACATAAAACTTACTCCTAAATATTGACTCTTACCCTGATATTGTGCCATATCTTTTGACCAAAGAGTCTCTGTTCCATATTGAGTTTCATCATACAAAAATTTTACTTCTGTGGCACCAGCATCTTCTGCGTTCTGAATTAATTCCTAATCAAGATATACACCAAAAACAATATTTCATAATACAGTAATCTACTGCCCATCTTTATATTTACTTGTAATATTTAAAAAATAATTACATTTCAGTAAAGAAACCCCACTGCTTGCAACATTATCTTTAAGATCTGGTGAGGAAACTACTGAAAGTAATTGTTACATACATATGAGAATGGTTGAAAAGACCATGAGTCCTTCTTCAATTACACATACTTACAATGCCTTTTTTAACTCACTATTCTTAGCCTGCAACACAATTCCTGCGACTATTTACAATTCTGCCTCTTATTTACAACCTACCCAAAGCCTTCACACAAAAGAAATTACTCAAGTTCCAAACGACACAGACTATTTTGTCATTTGGGATAAATACCCATTCTCAAGCAGTTACCAAAAAAGATCTCATTTATCATTTGCTTATCAAACTTACCTTTTTCTTAGAAAAAAATATCAGTCTATATGTACAGTATGTTGCATCTTGAAAACTTGAGGTTAGCATGTCTTTCTCCTATACTAAGATGAAAGTTTTTGAAGGTCAGCACAGCCTTATTCCTTTCATAAAAAGGATAGTAATATTGTCTGGTAGATAAGTAAGCAGATGGGTGAATGGATAATAAAAGCACTCTCATGTGAGAAAGGAAATGGCAAACTACAAGATTTACACCCATCAGTAGCCTCAAAAAAATCCCTAGTCTCAACAATCCCAATCACTTTGGCACACCTACCAAAATCATGTTGGGAGTTCCACACTCTAAAATAAGAGTCCAACTGCTAGAGCCAATACCATAGTCATTAGAATTTGAAATGAACTTCAAAGATATTAACCCTAGTTTATTTTGGACCTTATCTAAGGTATAGAAAAGTCAATACATAGCAATTGCCTGGGTGAGCTGTGATTTAGGCCAAACCAAATCAGGTGGTTACATTTTAAATGGATGGGTCTTTAGAAACACAATAACCCATCTTGTTATTTTTACACTCATAAACCTCTAACATTGGGAAGAACTATATTTTAACTTTTCTGACACCTTGGTATTACTAAACCTGGTGTGGGTTGGGGGGAATGGGCAAGAACTGAAGACAGCAATGCCAACAGCAAAACCTTTATCAGAGTAAAAAGGTGACACCGCTCACATGAAATGAGACAACTCTAACGGAATAAGGGACTAGCACAGATCTGAGAGCAAGTTCTGAGATCAGGTAAGACGTGTAGTTCACTGGGTGTACCCCAAGAGGTTGGGAAGTCTTACCCAACTGCTGTTCAACCCCAAACATGCCCTTTTCTACTTCCTTATTGAATACAAATTACTCCTGTTCACACAACTGCCTATTTCTCATAGAATTTGTAGACTAGTTCCTACACTATTTAGTCTAACAGAATCCCTGAAATTAGTAATCTTATTTACATTAGGCTATCTACACTAATAAAAGAGAAAAATGGTAATTGGCATACAACGCTACCCTTTTCATTGGCTAATCGGGGCTATATGCAAATTAATTGCCAACTAAGATTGGCAGTTAACTGCCAACAAGATGGCGGTTAATTTGCATATGTAGGCACAATGCAGGGAGGCGAAAGGGAAAGCAGGAACAGAGGTCTCAGGCCTGGGCGGGGGTCAGAGCCAGTGATCAGGGGGAGATGGGGGTCCCCTGTCCAAGCCTGACACCTCTGGCGGAGGCGTCAGGCCTGGGCAAGGGGCCGATCAGGTGATTGGAGGGTGATGGGGGTCTATGCCTCTGGCCAAGGCATCAGGCCTGGGCAAGGGGCAGAGCCAGCAATCGGAGGGGTCTGGGGGTCCCCTGCCCAGGACTGACGCCTGGGCCAGAGGCATCAGGCCTGGGCTGGGAGCAGAACCAGTGATGGGGGGAAATGAGGGTCCCCTGCCCAGGCCTGACGCCTCTGGCAGTGGCGTCAGGCCTGGGCAAGGGGCCGATCCTGTGATTGGAGGGTGATGGGGGTCAACGCCTGAGGGCTCCCAGTATGTGAGAGGGGGCAGGCTGGGCTGAGGGACACTCCCCCCACCACCCAGTGCACGAATTTTGTGCACCGGGCCCCTAGTTATGATATAAATGAGAAATAAGAATTAAAAGGGAGCAAAATATAATGTTAACTTTCAAAATGAGAGCACTTTCAAGGTTGGATCCTGGTTTCATTTGGATATCTATTTTTTATTTATGTGCATTTTAGGGGGCAGAGATGAAGAAAACTAGAGATAAAGTTCCAACTCCCAGGCTCCAACTATCAGTCTCAAGTTGAATAAAAAATAGGATGGGATGCTTTTTCTCAGGGGATCTCTCTCAAACTGATTCTGAGAAGAGGCAATAAATATGTCAATTTGCATATAATCTTGGGCGATTTATTAAAATACCTGGACCTTTCAGCAAACATCACAAAAGGCATAAGACTAAGATTCCTATTAAATCTAAAATGGTTGAATTCTACTAAAACATCCAAGGAACAAAGATTACATTCAGCTGGCTCGCACATAAATATATACAGTAAGCAAAGAGGAAGGAGTAAATATCAGCTGCTTGCTAGCTACAGGAATGTCCAAAGAGCTCACTCATTACTGTGGCCTTATTTCCTGATAGGATTTATCACTCACTTTTGAATTGATAATACTCCTGTTACCATCAACTAAATCTTCAAATTTAAATTTATTTTCTTTGCCTCTCTACCCCCATTTCAACCCTATAAACATACTCTTCCTATCTTCACTTTCCTAATATGTCAATATAAAAATGGTTTGCAAATTAACTCTGTGAATCACTGATGCCTATTCTTAAATGATACATGTCATTATTAAAATCACTGAAGATGCGGCAATCCTCTTCCAGCTCTATCTGAGTTTGACTATTAATCTAGTCCTTATTTTCTAAAAATTTACCATCTAAACTAGAAAATATGAGGACTAAAGAATTGTTAATAAACACTAAATAAATTAATGAGACGGAAAATGCATAATGACTGATCTTTTACACTAAGGAGGTGTCTTGCTAAACTTAAACACAAAATCTAATCTTTGCAATATCTTCCATATTGCTTTCTTTTATGTTTGCTTATTTTTTTTAGTGTATTCAAACTAAAAGAATACATAATAAATAGCTTTAAATAACTGAAATAATTAAAGTCTTCCCAAAAGCAAACCTCTAAAACCAGGGGTCAAATGAGCACATGTCGATGGCCGCTGAATGTGGATTCTGTATTATTTTGTTTGTGTGGTTGGCTGGTTGGTAGATTTGTAATGCCATTGTACAATGTTTCACATGCAATTCATAAAATTACATTATAGAATTATATACAGTTACAAAAAAGTGTCCCTAGAGTAGCACTACTTGATTACTGCAACTTAGTGGGTCCCTTTGCTCTGAAACCCCACGTATTTATATTGACTGTGTTCTCAACCCACATCATCCTGTGAATGCACTGCAGGTGCAGAGGGTAATAAGTATAGCTATTCAAATTTAGACAAAATTCTAAAACATGTAAACACTAACAAGACTTCTAAGTAATTTTATTCCCCTCATTTTTATCAAAGTAAATTCATACACGTACACAACACATGCCCTACCTTAAGAATCTGTCCTCCTTCTGGATATCTTCTTAATATGTCCTTGAGAAAATCAACAAGTGGTGGAGTTGTTTGACCAAATCTACCTAAAATAAAAATCCCATGGCCTGTTACCAATGTGTTATTTGGTTCCAAGACACAGTAAAATTCTACAAGTTAAAACTTCAGCTCTACTGCAGCTCTCGGTTATGAAACGCTACGTAATAAACAGATTCAGTAGACAGTAAAGCAGATTCTGCCCTGGCTGGTGTGGCTCAGTTGGTTGGAACATCATCCTGTACACCAAAAGGTTGTGGGTTCGATTCCTGGTCAGGGCACATGCCAAGGTTGTGGGTTCGATTCCTGGTCAGGGCATATACCTTGGTTGTGCATCCGATCCCCCGTTGACAGAGGCAACCGATCAATGCTTCTCTCTCACACTGTTGTTTCTTTCTCTCTCTCTCCCTCTCTCTCTCTCTCCCCCTGTCTCCTAAAAAATGAATAAAAACATTTTTCAAGTGTGGATTAAAAAGAAAAGTAAAGCAGATTCAACTTCATCAAATCTCAAGATTTTTCATTAGCTACAAATTAAGTTTTAAGAATATGTTAAATATACTAAATGTCACAAATGATTATTAATTAAAAAATAAAGAGCATGGGGGAAAGGGCTGATATTTTCTAAAATAATTGAAATAAATGGTGCTTTGCTGCAAAATTATAAGCCAGACCTAATGGTGCTGATAATGACATTCTTAATATTCTCAATCTCAACCGATGATCTGATTGTTCTGAAACTCAGCACAATCACCATCTCAATGGCTGTCCAGTCAAATACCCTTAAGCCTTTCCAAACTAGAGATTCTTAGAATTGACTGACCAGGTTTCCTTCAGATAGGTGACAGTCAAGTACAAGGAGAACGGGGGAAGGAAAGTAATTTCTCAGATGCACAGAACAACAACAAAAAAATCTGTATATAAGTAAAAAATAAGTCTGTGCTTAAGAAACAGAATCATCACTATAAATTTATTTGCATCATTTTTGCACAACTATGCACCAAGACCAAACCCCAACTGTTCCACAGACTAATATATCCCACACATTTTTATAACTCACTAACTCCATCTGCCCTTGTTTTCCTCTGCCCCTGATATCCACTTATCACATCCCAATATTATACACTTTCATTTCACTTTTAAAACATAATCTTTATTCAACTAAAAAGGGCAAAATATCCTGGTAAAGTTAATGTTATACCTCCCCCTTTTAAGCCTTTTGATTGAAGGTTTACAAAAAGATGACAATTTTTGGAAGTCAGTTCTCCAATCTTGATCCAGTCAGGTAACTGAAAAAAAAAAAAAAAGAAATGAATAAAATGTATGAAAAGCAATATAGTTCCTAATACTGTAAATTCAAAACTTTATCATAAATTTTTTTGCACTTAAGATATAATGCTTGTTAGCTGTTCTTATCAGGAATTAAGTTGCTCTGGAGAAGTGAATGTTTCAAAGAATAAAAATTTAGTAAATTTTTTTTTAAAATTTAAAAGATAGTTACTAATAGATATACACATATTTCTGCTTTATAATAATTTAAATTTTGTATAATGAATGAGGATCATAAACAAAGTCATTCTTTTGATTAGCAGTTCCAAAGTGTATTGCTCAGAGCACAGCTCTATGAGATGTCAACAGATAGAAGACAAAAAAATGTTTTAAATTAATTGGAATAATTTGGGGTTTAGGGCATTTAACATGTTAATACCTATTGTAACTTTCTCAGAAAGGATTACATTAGCAGTATTTCACAAATTTAGCACTGATTTTCTTTTCATTTATTTTCTAGGATATTGTACCTAGAAATATAGTTTGGAAAACACTGCTACACAGATGTTGCTACAATAAAGGTATGATATAAAAGGAAGGGGCAAATAAGGACTCCAACGTCTGAAGCTGCTTTGGTCTACAACTTTCCTAAAATTGGCTTTCCTGAAAAACACCTTGATATTCATTTTCCTTTTGGTGTTTGGTCTGATTCTCATAAGGGCAAGGTACAATATGTGTGATCATAAACCACAGGAGCAGTGTAATAGTGCCTTTTTTTGGAAAATAAGGTAAGTAATCCAAAGCCAGATAACCTTGTCCCCACCGGTCTACTGTTAATTGTTGCTATGGAATGATTCCTTACAGGTCAGCAGTTTGCAAAACATTATTCAAAAGCTCAGCTGAAGAGCCACCATTGTACCTTTCACTTCCTTGACAAGGTGTGAAGGACATAATTTACCATGTCAAAAATTCAGTATTTCCAATTGTCTACCACCCATTTCACACTGATATCTTCCAGGATCCCTAGAGCAACTTACCCAAAGGTGACATCACTAGCTTTCCTTCCATCACTTATTGCTCATCTTTTACTCTGAATCTCAATTATTAGTGGCATCTTCTATCTCGTCACTTTAATTGGAAAGCTGGTGGAAAAGTCCTCTCTCTGACCAAACCACAGTCAAATTGATTACTTTCTGGGTACCAGCATGTCCCTCCCCAAGTTTTCCCATAGCTAACTTGTTCTCTACTTGCAATTGTTCAGACCCTCCACATCTCAGATTTGTGTAACAATCCCATCTGGTCTTCTTACTTTCTGTACATCATCTTCATTCTAGTCCCCATCTCTAACATGCAAATCTGAATGTGTTACAATTCCCAGTTTATGAACCACTTCCTATACATATCACCACTGAATCTTAAAGCAAGCCTGTAAAAACTCCTTGCGCAGGAAATATAGATAAGAATAATCATAGCGGTACTGTTTTGACAACAAAAATTTAGAAACTACCCAAATTCTATGACATATGAATACAATGGAATATTACACAACAATAAAAAATGAATTAAGTAAACTGTACATAAATTTGGGTGAATATTCATAACATAATATTCAGTGTAAAAATATAATTCCAGGTTTCTACATATAGAATAATACACTTCTTATAAAGTTCATAAGTAACTAAAAATAAACAGTATATTACCTAGTTTATATATTTAGGTTATACACACATAGACACTTACATACACATACACACAAACATATATATATATATCTCCACACATATACATATAAAACTATTACAGTGACTAAAAAACAAACAAACAGAATACTAAACACAAAGGGGTAAGGGAAGAGACACAGGTATACAGGCTGGGGAGAAGCACAAAGGTAAATATAAACTATCAACAGGTTTAGTTCTCCAACTGGATGATGTCATTATTGTTATTCATTCTATTGTTAGTTAATTAAATTCCTACTAAAAGAGAGCCATAAAAAAAATAAATAAATAAATAAATAAAATAAAATAAAAGAGAGCCATGCATGAACCAAGGATTACTAGTCCAGTTCAGTATAGCCAAGGTACATTTAAAGGCAGGAAGGAAGGAAGGAAGAAAGAAATGTGCACTGGGCCTCTAGTAATCTTACTAGAAAGAAAGAAAAAGAAAGAAAAAAGGGAAGGAAGGAAGGAAGGAAGGAAGGAAGGAAGGAAGGCAGGAAGGAAGGAAGGAAGGAAAAAATTCTATAATGCAGGAAAGTTTCCAGATCTTAAAGAGGGCTTGAAAAGGAAGAAGACACAGACTAGCACCACATTAGTAAAAACAGATGTAACTGGCTATGTGAGATTGACAATGAATGCTTTTGGCAGATTGTTATCAGTGACCTATTTACAAGGAAGTGATTCTCCCTAAGAGAAAGCAAGCAGCGAAGATAACTTGAGCAGTGCGATCTGTTTTCTCCCCTGGAGAGTGCCAAGATTTGGGGATTTTGCTTGGGCCTCATTCTTTTTTGGACCTTAATTGCTCCAACCAAGCAAAAAGCAGCATTGGTCCTATTCACCTCCAGAGGCAATAAGACCTTAATAGTAGTCCATTTCAGCCTGGCCAGTATAGCTCAATCATTAAGCATCAATCTACAAGCCAGGAGGCACATGCCCAGATTGTGGGCTCTATTCCCAGGGTAGGGCGTACAGGAGGCAGCCAATTAATGATTCTCTCTCATCATTGATGTTTCTCTCTATGTCTTCCTTCCTCTCTGAAATCAATAAAAAAAATACATTTCAAAAAAAGTAGTCCACTTTGGTCTTTATATTTGTCTTTAAAACAGTGATTATAAAATAATTTTAACGTCTGCATTTTTGCCCATACCAGTTTCAGCCTCCCTTAAAAACCTCCGAGATGCTCATTTTCATTTATTATGAAACAGTAACTTCAAATTATTAAGCAAACAATACAATTTTAATTGTAATCTGGATCTCCCAACACGTCTTCCTTTGTTTAGTTGTCAAGGACACAAGGAGGTTTTCAAGATTTAAAAGCTGACAGGGAGGACATTTTTAATCAAAAGAGAAGAAAGTAAAGTGATACTTCAAACCTGGCTTGAGACTCAAACACATTTGGTATGGATCAGGAAAATGGACCAGAAAGATGCACAGCTATAAAGAATAGCTTCAGTCTCTGCATGGGACAGGAGGTAAAGAACTGACAAATGCCACTTCCAGGCCAGGAAAAGCAAAAGAAACAAGTAAAAGAGGATTCTAGGTGACCCAGAAAGACTAAGGAATAAGTACCTACTGCTAACTATGTCCAATACCAACCAAAGCCAGTGGGTGACAAGGAGTTGTCAACAGCTTTTGTTTCCTGCCTACCTTAAAATATTAGAATTCTTGCCAATAATTCAAATCTAAAAGGTTATGAACAGCATTAAATTAAATAGGAAATAAAACCACCTCTGTGAAAGATGTGCTTCTATAAAGGTGACCTTTAATGGCACATGTTAGCATTACCAAGTTCATCAGTTTGGTAAAAGTCACAAGCCTATCTCCTCTGAATCAGGAGAGAATTGTGCCCTCTGCTTGTTTTCTGGGGGAGCTCCATCCTTGACATTCAAGTTCATTTTTCACGGTTTAAGCTCTTCTCTATTTTAAAGAACTTCACATTTAACTTTTTTATTTATTGACACCCTGACAGATTCTCTATGGCGTGGCAGGTTAACAAGTCCAGACTTTGGGATCAGACAGATCTGGGTTCCAATCCTAGTTTGATACTTCTCTCTAAATCTTGGCTTCCCTAGTCTACAAAATGGAGTAGTAATAATGAACTCATGAGCTTGTTTTCACTAGTGAGATGATATATATACAAAATATCTAGAACAGTGTGTGGAACACAGTCAGTAGCTCAACAAATATTAATAATATTCCCAATGTATTTACAAAGTACAGAAAGAGAAATGTGCTGAAAAAGTTCCCAAAATTGTATCTCCAAAAGTTACTTCCCAAAAGGTATCTCTTGGGCTTCAGACCCACATCTGCCTGTTGAATATCACTGTAGTCTAGACTCTTACATAGCAGAGATCTTAGAATTGGTTAGAATTCGTTTATCCCATTCCCATTGGAAACAGGAAAGCAGATTCTAACATGGTAATTAATTTAGCCTCTGTTACTCACTGGCAGTAGGATCTATCTACATCACCTACCTCTTTGTGCATTTGCCTACATATCTCTTTTATGTCCTGCCACCAGCCGAACCACACACAAAAGCAAAATGGTTACCAACTTTCCTCCAAAATTAGGTATCTTCTGTACTTGTTTATCTCTGCTGAACTAAACCATTATTTTCCTGATCTCATTCAAGGCTTCTGAAGATCCTTGGCAAGGCCTTCTGCCTTATTCTACATCTCACCCCCTTCGCCACACTACCCCCCCCCCATTTTGGTACCAAACTGCCATAATTTTATATTTTTCAAATTCTCCTATGCATCCTTTCCTTTCAGTGTTACCTGTACAATCATAGTCTAGAACCTCACTACCTCATTATTAGCACAAGTTTCCTAATTGGACCCTCTCCACCAACCACTCACTCAATCTGAAACCTCTACACATCACTGAAATGTTTATCATGCCATACCAATACTTTGCAGACATCTACAAATACATTTCTAATGGCAAGACTGAGCCACAACTGAGCCTTTGGTTATAACCACATCTAGGGGACAAATGGGCAAAGCAGAACCAGAGGAGTAACCAAAGAAGTGGGTATAGAACCAGCAGAGTATACAAGGGAAGGTTAAAAGATAGGAGTAGGCGCAGAAAAAGAAGTGAGAATGATGAGCTTTGCTCCTCAATTCCGTCCAAAGTCCTCAAGTCACTGTCTGCATACCAACTATGGTTGGGGAACTGGAAAAGAGGGCCAATCCATGGAGCAACATAAGAACAGGTTAACAGGAAATGTGGGTTTAAGTGGGCAAGTGACTAGTGAGTGGACCCAGGTACTCAGAAGGTCAAGATTACATTGAGGGATTAAAATCACAGGTACCAAGCACTTCACCAATATTTATACTAGACTAGAGGCCCGGTGCATGAAATCGTGCATTGGTAGGATCCTAGGCCTGGCCGGCGATTAGGGCCGATCTGTGGGCGACCAGTGGGGTGATCGGTGGGGGGACCCCACTGACACCCGCCTTGGCTGGGGCCTGCAGGCTGGGGGCAGCTCCTGTGTTGAGCATCTGCCGCCTAGTGGTCAGTGCACATCATAGCAACCAGTTGTCCACCGGTCATTCTGCCATTCAGTCGATTTGCATATTAGGCTTTTATTATATAGGACTAGAGGCCCAGTGTAGGAAAATTCGTGCACTCGGAGGGGGGGCCCTCTGCCCTCTCGCAGTCTGGGGATGTCCTACTGAGAGCTTAGGGCCACTCCCTGTGGAGAGCGGGGCCCAAGTCACAGTCTGGCCTCCCTCTGTGGGAGGCGACTGAGTGGGCTGATCAGGGGACAGCACTGGCTGGTGAGCAGCTACCCTTGCCCCCTCAATCGCCCCTCTGCCGCCGCTGGTTGCCGCTGCCCCCCCTCCCCCCCCATCACCGTCCCCTCTCTCTGCCCGCTGGCACATGCCTTGGCTGGCCTGGCGCCGCCTGCTCACCAGCCCCGCCCCCAGACGACCTGCCATTCTGCTGTTCGGTCAATTGTAAGGAAATCTAATACTAAAAATGGCATTCTCTATGGCTTAAGTATTCCTGTGTATTTGTTCAACTCTTTGTCACCTCCTTTAAATCCTGAATATGATGTGGGGTGTTTTTTATCATAGAAAAAAAATAAAGTGAAGATATTTATTAGGATAAATGTTAATTTTCAGCAATATGTCTCCATGTAACTCTTCCCTTAAGTAGTTTCACCAACCTTAAAGGATACATTCAACAATATGAAATATTCCTATTTTCCAAAGTTTGATCTGCTAAATTATTCATTTATATCTTAGAAGTTTTAATATAAAAGTACTCCTCAAACTAATAGCTTCTACATGAAAGTATCTGAAGATCCTTTCAGTCTAAATTTTTGTGATTCAAAACTGGGGGGTAACTTCTAAGCTGTAAAAAGGTTAAGATATTTACCAATGTTAAATGTATAACAGAAAAAATAAGTACTGTAATGATTAAGTAACTTCAATGATGATGTCTCTAAACACGGAAACAACAAAAATCCTCTGGTTATAATGCTCATCAAAAAAGTATCTTGCCCAGCCAGTGTGCCTCAGTGGCTGAGCCTGAACCTATGAACCAGGAGGTTAGGTTGGATTGCCGGTCAGGGTACAGCCCAGGTTGCAAGGCTGGGTCCCGAGTGTGGGGCATGCAGGAGGCAGCCAATCAATGATTCTCTCATCACTGATGTTTTATCTCTCTCCCCCCTCTACCTTCCCCTCTAAAATCAATAAAAATATATATTTTTTAAAATAAGTATCTTAATTTCAGGAAGTGAAGATTCAGACAAAATGGAGGAGGGGGACTGCAAAGTTGAAATGGTAAATCAATAAAAGTTACCGTGAGAGGAACACACGTGTCATTTTGCTCACATTATTTGCAAAGCATTCTTTCCAGGGCGACCACTTGATCTGTCTTCCACGTCCCAAGAATAAACCCATTCAGTGTCACTATCAACTAGCGAATTGATGTGCTACACCCTCAGCACAGAGCAGGCCCGTCCTCCCCCGGGGAGAGGAGAGGGGACGGGCATACCTCCCGGTCGCCGAGCCACAGCCGCTGCTCCGACACCGGGAAGCCCGTCTCCGCCGCGATGCTCTCCTTGACGTCGCGCGCGGTCCAGGACTCCAGAGCGGCCACGGTCCTGCAGCCCACGCAGCCGGGAAGGACGGTCACCCGCAGCCGCCTGTGCGAAAGGCAAAGGGATTCAGTGGGGGCCTCGTGGGGGGCCGCGCCCGCCCAGCGCGCCCTCTCTCCCCGGCTCGGTGGCAGGCACGCAAAAAACCTAACATCCATCATCCAAACCAGCCGTCTCGGTGTTCCCATCCAGGGACTCTCCTGATGAGAACGGGTGTGACAAGAGCACAGCCCCGCCCCGCCCCGCCTGCAGCAGCGCGGGTGCCGGGACAGCCTTAAACACGACCTTAGCGGAGCTGTGCGTTTAGAGATGTGTGTTCTCCCTGGCGGAGTTCAACAGTTATGTGAAATGCAGAACTAGCGCCTACTGTCCTCCAACTCTAACGACTTTCAATCTCTGGAAGCATCTCCAAGTAAGATGTAAAGGAGGGGAGCGTTGTGATTGCAGAACACAAGTGTCTTCCATGGCCCTAGCCGGTTTGGCTCAGTAAATAGAGCCCCGGACTGAAGCGCCCCGGGTTTGATTCAGGTCAAGGGCACATGCCTGCGCTGCAGGCTCGATCCCCAGTAGGGGGCGTGCAGGAGGCAGCTGATCAATAATTCTCTCTCATCATTGATGTTTCTATCTCTCCCTCTCCCTTCCTCTCCGAAATCAATAAAAATATATTAATAAAAAAATGTTCCATGGTTTCATTTCCTGTTAGTTTTTAGACCCAAAAGTAGGGTCAATGACTCAGTTTGCTGAAGAAAGGAGTGCCAGAAGGAAAGTAATAGATGAGACTAAACATCCTATGACGTAAAAAATATACGTGATGTATTTTAGCAATATTATCTTATACTATCAGTACCCTAAGTTTTTCTATCACACTTGCAAGCTCTTTGAAATCATAAATTTGAGCCTTAGAGTTTATGGATCGCCCCAGAGTAACTAACGTTGCTTCGTAATTTGGAAGTGTATGTGGTTTGATGAAGCTTCTGAAAATGTCCTTTCCTCTGGCTTATTTCTCATAGGTATGAATGACACACATTGCAAAAAAAAAATATGGCAACATCTATTAAAACAATTCAAAGGCTGTATTGTGAACAAGTAAATTTGTGTGCTTCTTGTTTGAATACCTTAAATAGAATTAAATTTTAGTGTTTACCCCAAAATGGTATTAATTACTACTGGTTTTCAATTCCCTCTTCTCCCCCACCTCCACAAAAAATATTACTTGGAACTCCTTATCAGTAATAAATATACAGAATGCTCCTACAGTGTTCATCCCTTTCTTCTAAACATGTTTAAAAGGAAGAGTGCTTTAAGTCATGCAGGTCTTTCCTACTTAGAACAAATAAGCACATTAAATCAATAAAAGAATATACTATTTCAACAAAAATATCAGGCCAGAAAACCTCATGAACAAATATTTACTTCTTTAATCAGACAAGACTGCACAAACAAATGCATTAGAATATCAACAAGTGGAAAGAATATGAGCTGTCACTCCTTGCTATAGCATCAACAGCATACCTACCCCAGGACAAATCTTTCACATCTAACTCCTAAGACAATCCCCAGATCTACTTGCTTCCTTATTTACTCTCCTTGGATGTGAATAAGGCCCTAGTTTTCCCATCACTCTTAGGGACAAAAAAACATAGGTGTTGAGCTGAAGACTTGAGAGACCAAGAAATGACCTTAATGGAGAGGATTTCACAAGAAGCAAATTTGGTTGGGGAAGGAGGCTGATCATAAGAAGTTTGAACATCTGGAATTCAAAGTATACTCAGGGTTCATTTTGAAGGGTTAGTTGGCATGGGAACTACAAATCTGGAGCTCAGGAGGGATCCAAAGCTAAAGAAATAGATTCAGCAATCAATTGTTTAATCATTCAGGTAATATTTATTAAACCTTTCCTGTGTCCCAGATGGATACATTTCTAAATGATAAGAACACAACATGAACAAAGCAAAGTCCCCTATCTTATGTTTACACACTAGGGAAGAAAGACACCTATAAACAAATGGACCAGTAATATATCAGTTCATCGTATGGAGCCAAGCAGGAAAAGTACTATTTAAAAAGGGACTATATCCCAGAAACCAGAAGCACCAATCAGAAAGGATATATGCACTCCTATGTTCATAACAATACAATTTACCATAGCTAAGATTTGGAAACAGCCTAAGTGCCCATCAGCAGATGAGTGGATTAAAAAACTATAGTACATTTACACAATGGAATACTACGCTGCTATAAAAAGAAGAAACTTTTACTATTTGCAACAGCATGGATGGACCTGGAGAGCATTATGCTAAGCAAAATAAGCCAGTCAGAGAAAGATAAATATCACATGATCTCACTCATATGTGGGATATATAATGATCAACATAAACTGATGAACAAAAATAGATCCAGAGACAAGGTAGCACTGAACAGACAGTCCAGCCTCAGAGAGAAGGCAGGGGAGGGGGGGTTAGAGATCAACCAAAGGACTTGTATGCAAGCATTTTAGAATAACCAATGGGCACAGACACTGGGGCAGTGGGGCTTGCTCTCAGGGGTGGGAGTGGCCAGGGGGAGGGTGAATCGGGAAAAGGGAGACATGTGTAATACTTTAAACAATAAAAAAGGGGGGTGCAGAGGGGGTAGTTGGGGCAGGTCAAGGTAAGAGAGTAAAGGAGTTAGAACTCTTTTCTAAGAAGTTACATTTGAACAGAGGCCTGAATGAAACACAGGAAGATGAAATTACCCAGAAAGAGCTTATATGAGAAGAAACAGGGCAGAGCAACTGGTGTAGTTCATGCTTCCATCATCTTTGACCTGAATTTGGTACCATCGCCTCTTACTTGTTCTCCATACTCTACTTATCCCTTCTACAATCCATTCTCCAACCCTCCACGAAATCAAATTTGGAATTGGTGTATGTTTTGTTTACTATGGCTTCCCAGGACGAGAAAGAAGCCCTAATGTAGAATAGGTGCTCAGTAAATAGAAAGGAAGAAAGAGAGAGAGGGACAGAGGGAAGCAGGGACAGAGGGAAGAAGGGAAAGGGGGAGGAAGGAGAAAAGAAGGAATGAATAAATATCTGGAAAATATAGAAAAGTAAAAAGAAGCTCTAACATTATTTATAATTCTAACACCACAATACAAAAAAACACTTTTATAAATTAATGTCAATAAGGTTTTTTTAATATAATGCAATTATACTATGGGTACATAGTATTTTCAGCATCTTTATCACTGTAGAAATCTCATTTCTAATAACTGCCTAATTTTCCATTGAGAAGAAATATCTTAGGATGCTTAACCCTATTGATACTTACATGAGTATTTTAATTTTTCAAAAGTTCACAAACTTCAGTAAATATCTTTGTTCATGAACTTTTACCACTATTTAGGTTAAGAAGAAAGTTTGAAAAATTTTTAAGAAATGTTTGGCTGAGCCTTGATCCACTCTTCAGGAGCATATTATGAAACACTTAACAGCAAGAAGCCAAAACATCGGTCCCTTCTTTTAGAGTGAGTCCAAACTCAGTTAGAAATGGAGAGTCTATCCAACCATTTTTTGAGCCTATTTCAGTTGTAGAGATGGGCAAAGAAAATTGTTTTATTGCAGAAGCTGGCCTCAACACAACAGAAGCAGAAAACAATGTTATTCTTTCTCATGACATTTGTTTTAACTTGCCTTTCTTTCCATTTTCCTGGATGACATATCCGCATTAGCATGGGCCCTAGCTTTCTCACCACTCCCAAGAGATAAAAATATTCCAGTCCCTTCCAATCCCTACAATGGACTCATTTTTGTATTTGCAAAATCTATTTAAGGTAATAATAAAATGCCAGTTCAACACAATGTAAAAATTCTTTAATCATAATTGGGCTGCCTTTATTCTGATCCATTCTCAGACCCACACATCATATCAACTGCAGTCAGGAAGCACAGATCAAGGCTGAGAGCTAACTTCCCCTGAAACAATATTTCATGATTTTATGAAATGGACTGTGACTAATAGTATGTCTTGGATCATACAGAAACAATAATTTTTCCCTTCTGAAGAATGTTTGCCAGTGATGTAAAGACCAAAGTCTAACAAACTGTTATTCCTTTGTTTAATAAGTCAGCACAAGGCATTTATCTTGAAAATAAAATGTAAGGATATTGTATGCATGCTATTCAGTGAAGTCCTCAAGAATGAATTAAAACCATAAGCCAAGTAGAGAAAGGAAAAAGATCTCCAAGGGAGAGAAAACAGCACCTGCAAAATCATGGTGTCAAAAAATGGCTGTAAAGCTGAGGATAAAATTCATGTAAAGGCATAGAAAACATGATTTTAGAGGAGTCTTCAGGAATATGGTCATGAAGTTTCCTTTATGCCACATATGGAGTTACTTGAAGGGGCTGAGGAGCCACTTCCAGATTTTAATTAGTAGGTGATCAGAATTACATTATACAAAGAATCCTCAGGCGGCAGGAGTGAAGTTGACTTGGAAGGAGACAAGACTTAAAAATAGGAACAAGAACAAGAAAAAATGTTATCTGTGGGATTAAGTTAAAAGCTTTAAGAAGGAAATTCGCAGTGCCAAGTATCACATAGGTAAAGTGCCCACAGGATTTGACCATTGACCACTAGTAGACCATTATTGAGTTAGTTCTGTGCTCCAGAACCTACAAGAATTTCCCAATGACAGTAGGATCAAGCTCAATTTATTCCGTATAGCATTCAAGACCCATTACAATTTAGCCCCAGGCAGCCTTGTCAGATTCTTCTGAGGTCACCCCACCAACCATAATACAATCTGTCGCCATGAACAGTTTAAAATATGTAATATTTATGGAGTGCTTCCTATGTGCCATGCACCCTACTAAAAGCCTTATATGATTTAGCTCATTTGATCTTCTCAACAACCCCTCCAAGTACATAAAACCTCAATTTTCAGGTAGGGAAAATGAAACTAAACACCTTCCTTATAGTTCCACAGCTATAACTGGGAGAGCCCAAGTTTAAACTCCAAAGTCCAAGCACTATTAAATATTAAACTACAATATTTATAAAATACAACAACTTCATATTGCTTTACCTATCC